ATTTTGTATTTATGGTGGGACTATACCATGCTGATCCTAAGTCTCCCTGGGAAGCAGCTTGAAGTAATTTGCTCTTGGAAATTTTACTGCTAGTGAAAATACAAAAGCATGCAAATTTGAGGTTATATAAGAATATCCCAAAATACAAAACCCTACAGGTGGCCAGTTAAGCAGAAACAACTAGAATTTAGAGTGTGAACTTTCAGATACATTTTCACATAAAGGCAGCACAGATTGCTGCTCAGAAACACGATTTAACTTTGCGACACTAACCCTAACTTGTCATACACGCAGGGAGAGCTACTGGGTGTCATCCAGTTGCTAACAAAGATGACAGCATGCATCTTAGAAGCAGGGAGTGATGCCTTTAGCATGCTGGCAACACAGATCCTGAAATGATAACTTACTGGGATGCAGATATAGAGAGGAAGAAATAATAGCATTGTTGGGCAAATGAACTCAGAGCTGTTGATCCAATGCATTTTTCAAAGAACTACTGCAGAACACAAATAATACTTTAACTCCACCCTGTCCATCCTGTCCCTGACCATCCATAACTTCTATAAACCTACAAATGGGTTTCTACTGAGTTTATAACAAGAGGAGGATCTGTGCCACTTATATTTAGCTACCTCCCTTCTCCATTGACTTTATCATTTGGGCTTCTCCCTTTATAAATGCAATTAAAAAGTAGAGTTTGGATCTTGGTAATTAAACCAACAGAATATGAAAAACAAAGTTAAAATAAAACTGGGGTAGTTTTAAAAATAGCAGTGGGTCTTGTTTTACCCTCAGGATGAACCTGGAGAGAATGGAAATGTAGTCCCTTCAGAGCCTGTGTGTAGCACTGTCCTGCATTCATGCAAACTGAGCAGAGAAAAGGCCCCTTGTGCGTCAGTGCTCTATGGAAAGCTTGCAGGGACTATAAAAAGCTCCCTAAAATTACCTGCATCCTATAGATTTTATGCTCCCATCTGAAAAATGAAAAAAGCCCCAAAGCTTTATTAGCTTCACATTTTTCTCTGGAAATATTGCATCTCAGAAACACATAAATCTGTGTTAAATACCGAATATTATGACAAGCTTTGTTTTTCCCAGCATTATTCATAGAAGTTGCAGAGGAAGAGGCAATTACTCATCTATGTCAGGAACTGAGAAGGATCAAAATCAAGCATGTGATGCTTCACTTGGCCAAGATTAAACAAATTTCTCCTTTCTTGGCTTTGCATCTATTTGCTGCTGTAAAAAATCTGAACTCACTGGGATGCCAGCCCTGAGCCAGTGATGCCACTACTGAGCCAGTGTTTGCTTCTGTTTTTAACTTGTCGACTAACCTGAAGCTGTAGAAACACATCTGAGAGCTGGCAGAATTTTGCCTATTTCTTTAATAGGATAGCCAGAAAACGGTACAGGAATACAAATGACTGGGAGGAATTTTGCCTTATTATTTCTTATGCGTAAATTACAGCTATCAAGCCCACTTATATCAAATTCTATGAATGTCACAAATTCTGAACAGTCCAGAAAACAATCGCAGGCCAGAATCCCTGAGGTTTTTTTCTCTGAGTCCTGGTTGTCACCATGATCCTGCAATGTCCTTCTTTCAGGATAAGTTATAAAATTACCATCCATCAGAATTAACTTTGCATTACTGTGAGCCAGCTAAATGATTCAAGGAATCCTGTATTTGTATCCTAAAATGTAATGAACCAAACTGTGAGTCCTTGAGCCTAAAAATGAGAATATTTTTCCATTTGAGCAACATAGAATAAGGCATTGTGTTTGAAATAAGATTGTCCACACAGACTGTAAATAACAGTATGAATAAATAAATAAATAACAGTATGATTTCCTGTCTGCACAGTCCCATTCTAACATAGGAATGGGAACAGGCCTTTTTTCTAATAAACCTTATGCTGCTTTCAAAATAGGATAAACATAAACAAGGAATGTCATTCTTATGCTAGAAAGAGAAGGTCTAAATGGGACTTTATAGTGACAGACTTCTAGTAATATAAATTCACACTTATGTATAACCCATAGAATTATATGAATGAAACTTCCAGTATGAAAAGGTCCTGCTAGGCAGATTCAGTCTAGGTATTAAAACACCCTGATTTATGCAATGTTTCCTGTGCAAATTCTCTTGGGTATTTTTTCACAGTTCATACACACTGGCCTGCTGCCAATAAGTAATTCTGTGCCATTTTTTCAGGTTACGGCTATAAGAGAATAGCTATGATCACTTGCTAGTAGTGGAAAAGGTACTAGAGTGGCTCAAGAAAAGTGGGATAAGGAAAACATATAACAATAGGGTAAGTATAGCTGCCTTCCCTTTCTCTGGAACTGAGGCTGATTTAAGCAGTAAGCTGTGCATGACAGTTTAGCAGCTTCTGAGTTTTTTTAAAACATTGTGGGGAATACTATCTAGTCCTTGTAATTGCAAATATTAATTAATTAAGTTGTTCCAAAACCTCTTCTACTGCCTCTTCAGTTTTAGAAAACTCCTCAAAGAAGTTCTTGCCAGAAAAGTATCCCGTGTGGGAATCTCTCTAAGAGTCTGTGTCATGAACACGAAGCAAAAAAATTGACTTTTCTTCATGGATTATTTTCCATGTGCTACTACTGTCAAGTTCTATTAGGTATGAAAATGCTCTGTGTTTGGAAATACAGATCAGTCACTTAAAGAATACTTACTTCTTGAGCTGAAGAAAAAGCACCCTCTACTCTTTCCTTTCTCTTGTGGCTGCATTTAAGAGAAACTGTGTTTTGTCAGTTCATACCATTCAAGAGACTGATTTACACAAATGCAATGACAGAACCAGATCCGAAGTCTAGAGAAGATGCTCTGTACAGCCCACATTGCAGTGCATACTTTTTTGGCTTAACAGCACAGACAATGTTTAGTCAAATTCATGACCACAATGCTTCAAAGCTCCCATAGTGTCCTGGGTTCAGCATAACGTCCTGGGTTTAAACCATGACACCTATCCTCACTATATACGCATAATCCTTTGTAGTACCATGAATTCAGAAGGCTGAAACTTTAATCCTACCTTAGAGAATATACTATAGTTTTCCTCCTTCCACTGGCCATCAGACTTAATGGTTATGATTCATGGCCACAGAGCCACTAACAGTTTCACAATACTTGCCTCCATACTGTAAATTACCTTTTTGTAGGACCACAGTGATATTAAGACGTTAATGTCCTGAGCCTACCTAGGAAATCATTCTCATTCTCAAAGTATAGGCTTCCTTCTTTTATTTCCCTTAGCCATCTTGAACTTTGAATAACCTTTTAGTAGTATCTATACATCTTTTCCTCTATATGATACATTGTCACATCCTCTCAGATACATAGTTATTTAGTCTCATCATGGTGTTTCCACTGTACTGTCTTCAGTGGGTATCAACGTTTTATTTCAAGATTCCAAGCTATGCAATAGTCATAGTGAAAATATTATCAAGGGCTGTCAAAGAAGTCATCTATGACTATTTATAATCCATTATAACAGTAGTAAATCTTGAATTTAGCAACTGTGAACAGAATAAACTCTTTCATATGGTCTTGATTTCACTTTAAATTCTACTGGTATAACCTGGGAAATTGTCTGGATTGACTGGAATTAAGGTGTGTGAAATCAAGTAATTTAATACTAAAATAAACCCCATTATAGCAGTTCATACAACAAAGCATCTATCTGGGTTAAGTGGATAAATTTAAGCGAGAGGCACATAGAAGTAAGAATGACAGACTAGTAAGGGATTCATATTCTTTTCAGTAAGATCTAGTAAAACTGGATTTGAATTTTCATAAAACTTCATAATGAAAAATGCCTTTGGATATACAACATTAAAAATGCCATCATGAACATGCTGATAAAACAGATACGGTACCAGTGAAGCTACCTAAAACAAAAGATGTCAGAAAGAGAATTCTTTTCCTGCAGGATAAAAATAATGACCTCATAAATATATCTTAGAGGTAGCCAGTGCTGTAAGAGTGAGAGGCATAAACTGTACTCGCAAGAGAATTCATACAGACAAAGAGCTATTCACTCTTTTCTAGGTGAAATTGAAACGCCACAAGTTACTGAGTTGTAGAGAGAAATTACTGAGTCTCTTCTTTCTCCTCAAGAACTAACAAGACAAACAGCAAAGTACCCAAGCCTAACCCATTTCAAAACATGTTTTCATTTGCTGGCTTTGTGTTTGTTTTTGTTTGAAGCAGGGTTGGTTTGCTATTCAAAGCTATAATTCTATAGGTTCATGTTAATCTTTTTAAAGATAGAGCTGTCTTTATGAAACCCAAATCCATGGAGTTGATTAAAGCATATGACTCTCTGAGCAATATCAGTAACACTCAGAGCTACAGCTGTTAATTTCCTCCCACAAAGAGGCTTGCCACCAAATCATAATTTCTGGAACGAAAACTTGGAGTTTAGCCATGCCATTTAATTTACCTGGGCTAAACATACTACACTCTTAGAAGACCATATTTTAATTCCTATCTGAAACTAGAAAATTGTAGTTTGGGGGAATTTTTACCTAGAAATAGGCTACATAGTGCCAGCAGAGCCATTCTCTGAGTCCTCCCACAGCCATCCATTCCATCCTTCGGTTAGCATATTTTATCAAGTCATAAATCCACAGCACACACATACAGGTACGTGGCTATATTTTTCATACAAACACAAAGCACTCAGCTGCCAAACCTCAAATTTGGCACACAACAGGACCTAAAATTAAAAGGCAGTAAAACCCCAAAAGTCATTAATGCAACACATTCGAGACTGGGAGAAGCATTCCCAGGTGATATACGCAAGTCTTCTTACAGTTTTATTGTTGGAATTTTTTTCTTTATCTTTTGTGTAGGAACAAGGTTACTCTGAAACAAACCTGAAGCATTCCTTTGCAGGAAAGACTTAAAAGGTCTTTCTTGACCTTCTTATACCTCAAGATTTGTTAGGGTTTTATTTAACTTTTATATCACTTACCAGGAAAAGGATGAATTCTAGTAGCAGATATGGTTCTTCTTGCATGTCTGGAACCATTTCTTCTTAGAATAGTAGAAACTGATGCTGTTACTCTGTGTTTACAATCTGTTTTAAACAAAATGTGTTAGCTATAGAATTACATTCAGCTCTGATTGGAAGGAAAGCTGGTAAAGCCCTTATTCTTAAACAGCTGAACACCTTCCATGAAGAAGCAGGAAGGTTTTGAAATAAGGTGATGAGGAAAAGCAACGGCCAGATGGTTTATATTATTGTGAATGAAATTTTCTGGAAATTCCATTCAGGTTTGCCCCTTTCAAATTATTCTTTCTCAAATTGTACTGTGTACCTTGGAGAAATTTTGGAGGTTTATAAAAATGTACATGTTCCGGCACAGGTTCAAACTCACACTGTTGATAGTGGAATAGCAAGGATGGAGGGCACTGGCATCCTAGGAAGCTGACTGATTCCTTTTAAGTGTAGGGTGTTTATCTTAGGAAGCATGGTTTGAGAGCAAGCTCTATAGCACTCAGAGAGATAGAGCTGAGCTGAGCAGCTCTGATTGCTCCTCAGCACCAAGTTATGGCTAATCCTGTTCTACCGTGGCAGCAGTTCAGGGCTCAGCAGGCTTCTGATGACATGCTCACTCCAGTTCTACAGAATTGATGTTTATCTTTTTCTTTTGGGAACACTGGAACACTTCAGCTTTAAGAAATTCATTAAATTAACATTATTTAGGTCATGATTTTTTTTGTGAATAGCCACTGGAGATCTAAAGCACTGAAGCCCAAAGCATGCGCTGTAACAATTAATGTCCAAGGAAGCTCTGGGAATGGTTGTAAGACAAGTGGAACAGAAAAAGCAAAAAACCTGCTTCTAATTTAGCTCTTTTGTCATGGATTAGTTGTAACCTCCAACAAGTTTATTTGGATATTTTATTTTATCCCCTCATGGAAACAATGTTTCAGAGAGTCTCGAAGCCTGCCTCACAGAATGTCTTGCAAGGTCTCAAGACCTTGCATATTTCTGAACAGCTTTCAGTGGTGCTTGGAAAAGAGGAAAAATACCAATCATATTACAACTGGAAAAAAAGCAGCTGTTTTAGTCACATAGTAATATTCTGCTGTGTTCTTTGGACACCACTGGAAAAAGCAGTGTGTAGCCTTGCAATTAAATGTGACATCAAAACATATACGTAAAAGGAATACAACCCTTAAATCTGCTTGGTTTTTTATCAGTAACAATGTGACGTTGTTTATAATGTTATATATGATAAATTTAACCAATAAAATCACACTATTCTTCTATCAGCAGAAAATGTATTCTAGAAGCAAGTCAGTGATTAGAAGCCTCAAAAGGGCATCTTTCCTCCCTGCTTGTGTCCATGACGATTCTGAAAAACCTGCATTTAATAGAAAACTGATGTTTAAGAATAAAGGCAGTAAATCATTAATCATCACTACTAATAGTTCTGCATTTAAAATAGGATGTTATGACTCAAAGAACAGAAAATCATATTCATTACATTTATAGGTAGCTTTCAAATTACAAATAAAAGTTCTTTAAATTGGAGCATATAATAGCCTACTTATAGAGACCTAATGTATGCTCTATGGGAATTTACAAATTTACATATATAAAAGAGGTCTCAGAATTTGGTTCTAGCAATAAGTAAAAGATGATGCATTTTAACCAAGATAGTCTGATAAGGCATTTCTTTAGCAATTTGGGGGGGGTGAGTAGGAGGAAGGCTCACAGATCTGCCATTTTAAGCAACAGTTTTGCTTTGTTTATTCCTTTAAAATATATGCATGAAATATTTACATTATGCTAAAATAATCATAGAAACATTTTGTGTGGGGGCACCCTTCTTCCTTCTGTTATGATTAAATCTAGGCTCCTATTGCTCTTTCATTACAAAACTGCCTGTCATTACAGGGAAGATGATCAGGGGACTGGATATGGCTTATCATTTTGTTATTACCACTGCAACCAAGGTCTCCATTCAGCAGCTCTGGACTACAAGGGGAATGGACATCTGCCTGGTAATAGCAACTAAATGCTGATTGCCTAGAGGCATTCTGTGCACTCAGGGCTGACAGAGTCCAGAAAGTCTCAGGAAAGTGCTATGAAGAGCATCAAGGAGCTGTTATCTCAGGTAGCAGGTTAAGTAACGCTCTTTTCACACTGATGAAAGGAAGTGTGCTCCCTGTGTCACCTATCTCTGACTTGGGACGAAAACCAAAGATCAGCAGCTCACAAGCCTTCCATTTTCTGTGCTTTGTGCAGAAGACTTTTCCTTGGATTGCTCTGAAGTCTCATGTTCAGAGTACTGCAACACTTTTATTCTTGCTTTCTTCAACGTATATTGCTAGCAGAAATACTGTAAATCTGGTTTCAGCCTGTAACCAAACTGAATTGCATAGGAAGAGCCTGTCATGTTTGTTGAAAACATTGCAGAATGAAACACTTGCTTCAGACTCTGAACTAGCAGCAAGTTCTTTTGTAGGAAAGTTTTAGTCACTTGGAATAGTCAATACTGCTGATTCAGAAATCACAGCACAATAACTTCTTTGCTGAAATAACAGCAACAATAAGAAATGGTATCTGGGCTTAATTCAGCTCTGGGGAGAAGGCGGCACAGTTTGGTTCACTTGCATGGGATTACATCACTGTTGCATTCAGACAACCAGTTTTTAGGACAGACAATTGAGTGCATATCACCTCATACCCAATTTTTCTTGGCCATGACCTAGATGAATCATCTTCAGGAAGGAAAGGGTATTTCCATCTGCTTATATTTGCCATTGGCATTTCTGCTTAAGACCTTCGACAAGGTTCAACTGTAATTGTTTTACCTACTGTAATCAGGCTGAAACCAGAAGTTCATATCGCTAAGGATCAGAGGCCACCAAGTGTCTGTCAAAACCCCTATATTTTATTAACCATCAATAAGCTTGAGCTTGCATCCACAGTTCAGACATGAGAGGTGATAGTATCAATCATCAGAGTATTTCAGTCCCCCTATAAGAAACTTTTACTATATTGCAATACAAATATTGGTGTCTGAGGCTCATTAGTAATCAACACTTTTGTTATTGTAAATTAACACATTTTCATTGCATAGAAATTTAAATTCATGCAGATTAACTTTTTGTTACTTACAATTTTGTTCATTTTCTTGGACTATTTTGTAGATGACAATTAAAACAGTGAACACAAGAACTACTACAATCATGGTGAGCCAAATGATCTTTGTCATACACACTGGATCTGTCCATAAAATGTAAAAGAGACAAAATGAAGCAGTAAATCACAGGCAAAAAAAGCAGAACATTCACCCTTGCTAGATTTTTGGATCATGCTTATCCCCACAAATACAGCTTTAAAAAGATAAAATTATGCTTTTCTTTTTCTTTTTTCTTTTTTTTTTTTTTTTTTTTTTTTATGCCTTCTTTGTTGTTTGACACCAAGTTTCCCATCTGGAATTTAGCTTAATTTTCACATCTATCTATCTCCCCATGTCTAAACTAATTATAGGTAACTAAGTGAATGAAAACCTTTCCTATTTGTATAAACTATTATATGTAACTCAGCCAGGAAAAAAACAATGCTTCAAAAATCAACATTTATACTTAAGGTAGATCAAGGGTAATACATATCCCCTTTTTGTTTGGATGGAGCAAAGAAGGAACTGGTCCACTGTCCAACACTGGCCTTCACTGGCATTCGCAACCTCCTTGTCCCTCTTCATATATGAGAGAAGGTAAGATTTTCCATATAGAAATTTTCTCATCAGGAAGTGGGGAAATGCCACTAACAGGACCCCTCTGGGAAGTTTTTTAACTAAGTCTGCCTTAAGGGAAAATCAGCATGGGACTGGATGTAGGAGGTAGGCTGCTCTTTTGGACAACAGCTGCTGCAGAATGCACACACATTCCATGGGTAATTAGCTCAGTAACTAGTGCAAACCAGGACTATATACCACAGAGAAAGGATGTGGGGAATTTTCCTCCCTGGTGATTCAAAAGGCCTTTCAAACTTCTTCAGCAGCTGCTTGTTAATGCATACCTTTGCACTGTCAGATAACTATTAGAAAAAAACCAACTATATTGCTATGACTCATATACAATCAAATTACAGACCATAGCCAAACCACTGTTTTCCTTTCCTTGCCTTAGATTAGCATAATTAGACCTACATCAACTTCCCCTGTGTATCTTCTCCACTGAGAAGTCATGAGGTAACTGCCAATAACCCCATGGCACTTGGAGGCAAGCAAAGCTCATCCCTCCTAATTCAGAACTAAAAATATCCTTTATATTGTCCTCCAGGCTCCTTTCAAACAGAGTACTCTATCCTGTCTTGCAGTGACTTGTAATGACTTGAACGGCAGCCTTGCTTAGCAAAAGCCATGAGCACCTCTTTAGCTTTGTTTTAAAGTAAATAGAAAAGAGATGTGTTGTTAATTTTTATTGTTAATTTGGGATAACCACTTCCCAGAAAAACACCATTAGCAAAGGGTGGTTAGCTTACAGTTTTAACACAAGTTAGACGGGCAAGGTACAAACTATACTCCTCTCCTAGCTACACCTATATTTCTTTTTAAAAAGCAACTAAGCTGCCCTCACTTTTCTAAGATCTTACCTGGTTTTATTTAACACAGGTTTAGTCAACTCCAAAACACATATTTTTTTTTGCAACAAAAGTACATTATAAAATGCATTTGCCATACAAACCAAAATGAATGTAGTAATTCATCAATTCCCAGGTGGCAAGTGTTGCATATAGACAGGCTGGAAGCCACAGTCAGGGAATCTGCCAAAAAACTCCTCCAGCACAAAGAGAAATTAAAAAACCTGACAGGCTGTCCTCTGGGAAAACTAAGTCTAGTTCAGCTGAAGGTTTCTCTTTTAAGAAGAAAAAGAGAAAAAAACTTTTTTTTTAAAAAAACTTTTAAGTGTGCTGTAGTAAGGCCTTACAAAGTATACTATGGGAGGATATTGCAGTACAACGGTAAGAAAAGTTAAAACCATCTCCTGGTTCTTCTGCCATGCAAGTTAACAGGAATTTTTCCATTTATCTCCAGGACAACAGGGTTATGCCATTATCAGGGAGAGGTGAGGAAAAAATGTAATTCCAGGTTTTGTGATACATGCAATTTGTGACTCTGTCACTGCTAAGCAAAAAACTGTACAGACACTTCCTTTGTGCTGCTTCTAGGGGGAAAAAAAAATACCACAACAAAAAAACACAGCTAAACCTTCTTTAAATCACTATGGAAACCTTCAGTTGGCTATGAAAGATGATCTTTTAGTAAGGGATGATCAAAATTATATTATCTTCTTGTGAGATACCTAAATACTTTCAAACAGTTGCTGAAACCAGAGAACTTGCTGATTTTTTTCAAGAGTGGTATTGTTTCTGGTTTGATTTCTATTATGACTCTCCTTTGTAACTTACATTCCACATAAGTCTTCAGTTGCATTGAAATATTTATACAGTCATTTTGGTCTTCCATCATTGCCACCAGACAGGAATGATTTAGGTATTCTTCGGCTGCATTTCCTCCTCCGACTGTAGAATTGTTAATGTGGATTTCCAGCAGGTAGTAACTATTATGCTCTACTTCTTTCTCAGAAACCATAGTGAAATTAAAATATTTATACAAATAAATAACATCTTCTGATTTCACTTCAAGCGAGCCTTTTGCTTTTGGAAATAAAAATTAAAACTGTTATGCAGCATGTGGTAGACAAAGAGACAACTCTCAGAAAGAACAATAAACTGAGTTTTCCATCTCATCTGCAAAACATACAGTAGGCTTTTACATTACTGACTTTGATAAAATAGGAAAAAGAATACCATGTAAAGTTATTCTGAACAGATCTGAAAAGTATTGATTAGCTATACAAAGTATGTTCCCCTTACAAATTATAGCCCCTTTTTTGCTTTACTATCAGCTTCTGAGCTTTTCATTTTTGTGTGGTTGTCACAGGTAACAGACAAAACTCAGGCTATGAAAAAAAACCCCAACCAAATAAAAGCCATATGATGATAGATATTTGAAGTGTGCATCTAGTCTATCTGCTACCAGTTGCAGAAGGTTCTTGTTTTATTTCACACAAGCTGTGAGACTTGCAGAATGTTAACAAGAAGCATAGGCAGGTGAGACATTGTCAGGAGTTGAAAAGTTGTGTAGGTATGACTGAGAACAGTTTGTCCACACGTTTTGTCTTGTAATTTTCCATACTTGCTAAGACAGCTATTTTGTAATAAGAAAATGAACTGCATTTCTTATATTCAGGACTTGGCCTGTGGCCAACAATGTTAGGAAAGCAAAATTCAGAGGCATTCTCTTCCACAAAAGTTTCCAGATACTTTGCAAGTATCTGTATACAGCACAGAAGGAATATGCTGCTACTGAAAAGAATGTGGTTATTGCTGAACTCTTCCCTATATTGCTGTGCCGGCCCTTATTCAGTGCTGCCTTCTTTGAAACATGCAAGGCCGTTTCTGATACTACACAGTTGTGGCCTATTGTAAACTGCAAGCACAAAAATGGTTATTTCTTGTATAGCTGCCGTAAGAATGGTTACTATCTTTGAATTAGTTCTTCAGATACTTGCTAACAACCTATCTTCTTATAAGGTCTAGTGTGAGGTGTCCCTGCCCATGGCAGGGGGTTGGAACTAAATGATCTCTAAGGTCCCTTCCAACCCAAACCATTCTATGGTTTTATGATTCTGTTATAATATCAGCATGTATAATAAAATCTACATGTAGAGTTCCACAGTGACATTTAAAATCAAATTCAGTGTGAAAACTGATCAGAAACTACAATTCCTTAAAAAGAAATTAAACATTTTAGAAAATTTAGCAAGTTCAAGAGAATAAAGATGGGACTATCAGAGCATTCATAAAAGTCAGATGGCAGAGGTCAAATTTGCAACAGAAATATTCCAGGTGGCTGTGATTTTATACAAGATCCTCCAAGAAAATAAAGCAGCGTTTTGCTATTGGCATGTTTCACTGACAGCAAGGAAAGAATGCCACTGAGAATTTGACATAAAACATGCATCTTCTAGCCATGCAAAGTCAAGCCAAAAACCTCCATTGTTCATTGATGTGCAAAGACCATAAAGAACCAGGAGCATATTAATTTTTTTTTTAACTACCAAATAAAACCGTATCTTTTATGTTGTAATTAGCTACTGCAAAATTAAGTATTTCTCTTCCCTTACTTACTTTTTTCAGCTCCTAACCCTGATCCTTGATGATCAACATTCACGTCTCCCTTGGATTCACACTCTCTGTGTTTAGTATGGGACTGTTCCATCCTGGAAGACTGGCAAATACATGGAATGTTTTGGAAATTTGAATGATTTACAATGGCCTTCAGTAAAATAGTCTTGTTTTCTCTTCTTTGTTGCACTGATGCTTTGCAAGAATTGTTAAATGTGCAAAGTGGAAAAGTGGTGTTATTTGATGAGCAGGTGTCTATGCATGACACAATTACTGTGTTAACTGTGAAAAAAAAAGTGCACTGTATTAGAAAGACAGTCATATAGGACACATGAACAAATACGTAGCATCATGTAAAAGAACTTTTAACCATTTTATGATGCAATGAGCTTTCTTTTTTGAGGGTAATGGCAGCATGTTGAATGCATCAAGTGAAAGAAAGCAAGCACAGTGTTCCAAAACCTAGATACTGGATTTTATTGCTGAATTGTATAAAATCTCTTGTAATACTAACTTGAATTGGTGGTTGCATTCTTGTTTCAAAGCTGCCCCACTTTGATTGTACTTGAAGATGAAAGCACTCATGTTTGGAGGGGGTCTTAGCCCTGGAACTGTGCAGCTGCAATGCACCAGTGTGATTATGTTGTAAAATAGCTATCAGAACAAAAACTTTCTTTCCAGTGATATTGAAACTACACAGTGAAAATACACAGAAATCTTCTGAATCCTCCAACCACATCCTTCACGTTCTCTTATATTCAGTCAACAAACACGAATCTTAATAAGGACCGTTGGTTTTGTAGTCATAGTCAAATTTCAGTATCAAATTACTGTAGCTAAGAGTACATTAATGCAGTTTTGGTAAGTAGCAAAAAACCCACACAGAATTAATTATTAATGAGTGTTATTTTAGCTCTCTTCCACATTAAAGTAGGGCTTATTGTACAAGTCTTGCATTTTTACTTGAGTTAATGTTCAACTGTTTTTTTCAGTATGAAAAACACTCTAAGAACAAAAACTTCTGGGACCCCAACATGGATGACGTGTTTATGAACAGAAATAACCACATCCTGGAGTTGGTGCAGCACTAACCTACAGTTTTGTAGTTGAGCTTCCACTTCTAGTAGTATGCTGGCATCTCTATGAAGAGAAAATTTTCCATCTAACTCCCATTATGAGTAGTTGGATGAGTATGTTCCTAAATCCTTATGTATATAGAGAAAAACACAGCCTTTATTCGCTGCAGTGCTGAGCTGCAATCTAACAGCTTCAACAGACCACCTATACTCACATAGCAGCAGGCTGACCTCAGAAAGCATTCAGTGAAGGATTTCAGACAGGATGCAGAAATGAAATCCAAAATCCAATGCCAAAATCAATTATCTTCACTAACACTACATTAGAAAGTCATAAACTCCATATAAAACATAATAAATAGAAATACAAAATGCACATCCTATGCAGGCAAAAAAAAAAAAAAAAAAAAAAGAAGGAGAGAGAATTCATTTTAATACAAAAAGGAAAACCGTCAGACAAAATCTTGATCTTTCCCTGAGGCAAGACACAACATTTTCCCTAAACGCTTATGATCTGACCAATGCAGCCTGAAGTGGAGCAGACTCCTGAGGTCAAATTCTTCCAGCTGAAGGAGGCATTTTGTGTAGAGCTTCTCTCTGGAGATGACTCAGGAGCAGGAACTGAATGGTTACTCTGCTCTCACAGCAAGGCGTGTGTGCATCAGTTTAAAGGTACTGCTGCAGCTTTCAAGGTCAGCTAATGGTAATTCACTATCATACCCCTTCATCGAGGAATTTGTAAGCTGACTTGGGAATCCACACGCTGTGCTGTGACAGCAGTCTATCTTCAGCACTATGAAGTCCATTTTGGGCTTCACATCACACCTAATCAGGCTCCAGAACTGCCTGTGAGCTGTGTTATAGATAGGTAAATGCATATTACAAGTTTGATTGCTGTCCTGTTAGGGAGGGTGCTTACCTCCTGATCCTCTTGAAAGATCTCTAATGAGAAATCCAACCAAATTGCAACCCAGCATCAGCATTTATGTTCTTCCAACTCACAAGATTATGGACTTCCTAAGAAGTGATATATATTATTGATAAAGACTGTAATGTGGGCCAAAAGACTAGACTTGTCCAGTGGATCACATGGCAGACAGATTGCTGTACCCACGAGAGGCTTGCACCTTACTTCAGGACTGGAGAGCACCCTCCCAAAAGTAAACATCACTAGAAAAGTGGAAGGGGTCTTGTGAAATCTGAATGCAGACAGACAGAAGAGTTAAGAGGATCAGTGAGATGAAACCATGCAAAGTACCTCTAGGAAACAGCTTTGTATTCAAAGATCTGTAACCCACATGCCTAATATTAAGAAGTTCCGTGATTATGAAATTCTTTTAGTAAGCCTCATTTTACAGGGTGTTCTTCCACAAAAAATCCAATTCCATTGAAAAGAAATTATTCACAGGGAAGATACGAACTTGTAAAAACTTTCTTCCCATTAAAATGAAAATCATAAATATTTCATTTTGGATTGACTTTTTTTTCCATTTGATCTATGATATTCCATTTTGAGTCAATTCAGCAGTATATGAAATTGTAATTTTTGTCACCTCTTTATGGAAATTATTGTCATCACATAATATTGTAGAGATATAAGGCCTACAGTACAAGTTGGGGAACACACAACTGATAGATTTAAAGAGATACACTCCATCAAGTAGCTGGACACAGAGGACAGGACTGGAATTGAGAGCACCACAATCCAAAACTACAACCTCCTGCTCTAAAGCAATCTAGTTTAAAGGTTCAATACCTTGTGTTCAAACAAGTGGGTTGCTTTACAAACATAAAGGAAACATTTCACTTTTGGCAATGCTGAACTGTAGTCTTTTGATAAATTTCAAAGGTTTAGTATTTTTGTAAATTGATTTCTCCCTACATTTCTTTTTAATGAGATATTCCCATTCATATTCCCTCTGCAGAATGAAAATAAATGCTGGAGCATCCCCTGGGATAAAACCTCCAAGTTTCACTTCTATCTGTATACTTTACTTGCCTGCAATTTCACAGGTTATATTAAAAACCTGAAGTACGCACATAGTACGCACGCGATCCTGGAAAAGCCTGTGGAATTAGGAAGTCTTTGAAACTCATTTAGGAGCCCTTCACAGAGGAAGATACAGTGGCTATGTTTCACACCTCAAAGATGTCCAACAACAGCTCTGTGTGGTGAAGCCTCATGGGGTAAACAGCAATTTGAAACACCTACAGCAACTTCTGTACATATTTTTTTGCCACAAAATCTGACATAAAACTAGTTTCCAACAGAAGGTTTTCAATGAACCAGAGACCCAAGTTCCTTGGAATTTTCAAAATGAATAGTTCAATATATTTACCTTCTCACGTAATTCAGACGTTGTTATACCATCTGCTATATACTCATATAGCTTTTAGAACATTCAAAATATGACAATGATTCTAATTTTCCAGACGTAATTCTGTGCTGTATTCTGCTCATGTACTTCACAATCTTAATTTAGACACTCTGTGATTAAGATCATAGGCAGATATCATAATTGCAGTGATCATGCTATTGCAGCATAACGCATCTCCAATAAGAGCAATCTAGGAAAGCAATCATGGAAAATTGAAATAATTCTTTGGTGTTTGACAGTAGGGTCAATATTTTCTTCTGGTAATAATCATGTCATTGTTTAATTGCATGGTCTGTGTTAGCAAATACTTTTGATTACTTCAGCGTGGAGATAGAACATTAATTATTTCAATATCTGAAACTGACTCATCAATTTTATATTTGAAACTTCTGATAGCATACCAAGTTTGTTCATTTATAAACTATAAAAATCTATTAAAATATTCTAGTTACTGTCATGTTTATCCTTTGTGGTTAATAGAGATATAAATATAAATAACCCAATCTGGACTTTTTTTTTTCCAGAAAATTATGCTTCATAAATAATTAATTGCATGATGCCTGGGAACACATGCCATTTGGCAAAGGGATGCTTTTTATTATAACATTTATGTATTCAAAAACTTAATTGAGAATAGGTGTGACAGAACTATTTTAATGTTAATTTATTTATGGATTTTTAAGAAAGCACTGAATGTAAAACTTATACACATGTATTTCACATTCATCCTAAATCCAGGGTTGACCTTTAGGATCACCAAGATGTAACTGGCATTTATGTTACATGATTTGCTTCACTCAGTTACATTTATGCCACTCTACTTTTTGTCAGGTCAGCACTGCATGCTTCTTTCACAGACAGCATCTCATACCAGACAGAAATTGTACAATGTATTATAGGCATTTAAGTGTAGGAACTTAAAAAACAGTTATTTTTTAAGACATGAGTGCCTGCTATAAAAGAACATACACGCTTAAACTACTCTCTTCATGAGGAAGATAGTAAAAGCACAGTTGTGTGGAACAAGTTACCAAGAATTTTGCAGTGTAGATAAATGAATTACAAACTCCATTCAAATTGCCACAAATAATTAACACTCTTGGTTAAAAATCTAACAAAAAACAATCTATATGCTTTGCATATGAGCACAGCATTCTGACGGTAGCTTTTAGGAAAGCATCTACCAACTTTTCAATTGCAATCAGAGTTTCAAATAAAGAAAAGGCTATTTTAGAAGCTGCTCACTCACCTTCATGGATTTTGAAAAATTCAGGTAAACATAAAATGAACATGGTAATTATTCCCAGGACTAATCTGAAGAGTTCTGATTTTCCCAAAAGCAAGCACATGTCACTGAAGCACTCCCATCTAGCATAGTGGTGGTAACTTCCTTCCTGGTTTAGCTTTTAACTTAGTGCAGACTTTATGCAAAATAGCGTCTATTCATTTCCTTTTCCCAATATGAGCTTTCTTTTTACTTCTGGTGACATTAAGTTGTAGAAGGCCAAGTTTTGTTCTTACAGTGACATAGATGAGGATGACTCAAATGACTACACTGAAGATAAAACTCATGTACCAGGATGAAAATAGAAGAAAAAACAAACATAGGAACTATTTTATTCATTTGGGGTAGTTTTGTTTCAGGAACATCACCCCCTAATGGCTACTTTCATATACCTTCTAAACAGTAAATGAATCATCTCTGCGAAGGAATTTTGTACTCATTTGGCTAAGCAGGTTTTAAAAAAATTATTCAGACCCTCATTATAAAGATGAGTCAGAACCGCATGAGTCAGATATGGAGACTTGATTGGTTTATTTATATACATATGCGTTGGGGCTAGGAGAAAGATAATTTTATCTAATACAGAATCTTCAAGACTTCAATAGACTATGAATTTGTTCATTATGACCTAAAGTTTCTGATCTGACAAATAAGTGAGGTACTAAGTACAATGAGATGTTCGTACTATCATTGCTGCTGTATTCTTAAAAGACAACAGATGTTTTGTCAATCTGTAGAGTGTCTTCAGTTTGTGTATTACTATCCTTTCACCACAACAAGACTGCACAGAGACACTGCTATTTCTATACATTGTAGTCCAATTATTCAGCTAAACTTCCTAGTTAACGGAGTGAAGTCTTTCGTTCTGTCAACCACTGTATTCCATGAATTTTCTTACTGATAAGATTGCAAAGAACATTTCTGAAATGTTCCAAATAAAAGTACTCTGATTAATGCATATGTAAAAACAAATCATTTGACACATATATAGAGTATATGCAGTATGAAAGATCTGATTAATTCAGAAAGGTCTCTTCTGATGTAGTATTTTTCACAAATGCATTAAATATTAAGTAGTATCAAAATGAAGCAATGCTGTTGAAGTAAAAGAAGAAATGTCCTATAAACCTGAAATGTCCTTCTTGTCACCTAGTTATCTGAGAAGATCACTAAACCAGGTGGAAGCAAATACAGAATTCATTCTGTAGAAAGACTCTTTATGGAGCTGTAGTGGATGTAAAATTGTTAATATGATGTTTTAAATGTAGCAGGTTTATGCAGTGAAAGCAATGAACCCAAAGCAAAAAGAACTGATTTTTCTTTTTGACAGTATGGTACAGCAGCAGTAATAGGGTACAAAATAATCACAAGTATGAATTTTAAAAGTAAAATACTGAACAACTTATATTTGTCATGTTAGCAATTTATATTTGTCATGTTAGCAAATTAGCTCTTCTTTGTGAGAGACTATTGCCCCTTAAGTATCTGCTGTATCACTTCTTTGTATTTTTCTGTTTTCAAGGTTAAATGGTGCTTACCCAGCCTTTCTGCCCTTTGGGAATGGAGAAAATACTGGAAAATAACTGGAGGACTTTGTCAAGCAGTATGTGTATCTACCCCTTTCTGGTACAGTCAGACTTTCATCGCTGTTGGTACTGCCCAAGGTCAGACCAGAAATTGGCTATAGCATCACGCCCGCGTTCAGCCTCGTACAGTAATAGCCTGTGGAATACGTTGAGTTTGAGATTTCATGGAAGATTTTCACAAACTCTGCAGTAAGCAGATCGGGAATATCTATTTTAGGGCTATTGTGGTGGCACATTTTAGTTTAGTTCCTGAGTTCAGGAGGCACATATATGATCTGTCCACTCATCCCACAGGGACACCCTAAGCTTCAGTCACAATTGCCCTCAGGCAGCTCTGTGTGTGTAATGTAGCCGGATCATGTGCATGTGTGTGGCTTCACCCTCCAACTGACCTCAAAAACATGAGATTTCCTTCCTGGGAACATACTTCCCTCCACCTAGCTAATAATTTTTGCCCAGCTGGAAGAATTAGTATTTTTGAAAACCCTCTCCTTAGGTCAAATTTAGTTAAAGTCAGCTAAATTGTTTAAAGTCAGACAGGATGAGAACCGGTAGGCGAAGCACACAGCATGTAGACCACATTTCCTTACAGAATTAGGCAAAGAAAACACTATATGCCTCATTACCACATCAAACTCACACCGCCACGCCTCAGCAATGATCTTGTGCACCCTTAAATCAGTTCGATCGGTTGGAGGCACATCTGAGTGTCACACAGTCTATTAATTCAGAAAATTATACTTTCTTTACAAGGCAGAGGTCATCGGTAAGGTGCTGCATGATAAGGCTGGCAACGGCTGGTGTGTGTGTGCCCATTAGATGCAACTACAGGCCGCCTCAGCACCGCACGGTGCCAGGGTTCGGAGCTGGGGGTGTCAACGGCTGCCTCGTGTGTCACCGCAGATTTATTTCACCTCAGTGTGAGTGCTCGGACCCGGGGAGCGCAGGGCTTTATGGCTCTAGAAGGCCCGCAGGGGGACCCGGCCGGGCCGAGGCCTTGGCACCCACAGACCCCCGCCAGAGGGGATCGCCCTGGCCGCCGTTCCACTGCCCCGCCGGCAGAGGGAGCGCGGCGCGGGGCGGCGGCCACAGCCTGAGGGGGGGCGGCAGCGGCCACGGCCACCGCCCTGCCACGCGCGGCCACTCTCCGTCCCTGCCCCCGGGCGCGCGGAGGCCGCCGGTTGGCTGGCGGCGGCGGCGCGCGCCCCCCGCCCCGGGACTGGAGGCGGGGTCGGCGGTCAGGGGGCGTGTCCCCGCGTCCCGCCCCGCCCTCCCCGGAGGTGCCCGCGCGCGCAGGGGCGGGGCCAGGAGCGGGGCCCGAGGGGACCCGTTGTCGCCGGGGCGGTGTCGCCCCAGTGCCCGTGGCGCCCCGGTGCGGAGCGGGAGCGCTGGCTGCTGCCGGGCCGGGGCGGAGCGGGAGGGGCGGGGGGTGACGGGGCCTCCATCGCCTTTTTTCCCTTTCCCCGCCCTCTCCCAACCTCGCCCCCTTCCCGGACCTTGAGAGGTGAGAAGGGCGGTTGGGGCTCGGCAGCCAGAGGAGGGGGTCTGGGACTGCCGGGAGGGGGAGGAGAAAGCGAGGAGGAGGGCGAGGGGGGAGCTGGTGAGGGGCGGGCTCCCGCCCTGCTCTGCTCCGCCGGGCTCTCTCCTGCCGGCTGCCGCCCCGAGCAGCGCCCCGCGGCGGGGGAGGGGAGCGGTGCCAGAGGCCGCCGCTGTGGCAGCCCCGCCGGGCGGGGACGGGGTGGGTGTCTGGGGGAAGCGCGGGCAGCACGGGGCGGCGGGGGGGGCTGGCTGTCGTAGGGGGCTCCGCCTGGGGATCGGGGTCTGTCCGGCCCGGGTCAGAGCGGGGAGCCGGTAAAAGTGCGGTTAACACTGAGCCTTCAGGTGTTTGTATCTTAACCTTCGCGGTCAGAGTATGGAACAGTGGAAAACTACATTTTGTTGTGTTTTAAGAGTAGTCGGACAGAGCAGAGCAGCGACTGCCAAATCGGCATGATGGGGAGTGGTGTCGTTACACGGGGAAGAAAAAAGAAGTGTTGAACATCAAACAACTGCTGTTTATACGTGTTACTGGCTCATGGTTTTCCTTGAAGCCTTTTTGTGGCTTTAGGCTTTGAACTCCCTGGGCTCAGCGGTGTGAGCAGTGATGCAGCGTGGCAGTCCGGCTGCAGCTGAGCCGTCGGCGGCTCATCGTCACAGTGGTTTAGCAGCAATGCCTGTTCGTATCCAGTAACGCCACAGCGGGGAAAAAAAGAACGCTCGGGCTTGTTCTTTGCTTTTGCTTAAAAGTCAATAATGCAATTACACAAGCTAAACTCCAAGCGCAGTCCTGTTTTCAAGTAAAAATACCACTCAAGTCTTCTTACTAGCATGAATAAGAATAAAACTTTGAACTCATGGTTATGTCAGTGTAGCTTTTGTATCTAGACAAACTATGTATTGTGGGGATGGGTCCTTTTTAATAAAACGGATCACAAGATGTATTTTCACGAGCAGTTCACCGGTTTTGCCAGAAACGATATCTGATCGTTTCTCATGAAGGTGTTTTTGCGTGAGAATTTCCAGAAGTGTATATGGAGGAATATCTACAAAAAAAATTAAAAAGCCTTGTTCTGAGACTTCGTAGGAGACTGTGTTCCCATCTTGTGTTTTTCCTGTTTTCCCCTTGCTGAACAATGGTAAGGAGCAGGATATAACCAAAATGATAATAACAGTAACCCTCATCTAAGTCAGATAGTGTTTTCCTTTGCCCTGCGTCGGCTTCACTGACCCATCCCCCGAGCATGTCCTCTGGGTGGGCAGGTCGGCTACCGGAGCCAGCGTGTTTGCTCCGTGGCAGTAGTTTTTAACACATTGTGTTTCACAGAATTGCGGTGACTGCAAATTTAAAATAGGAAAGAATTCGTGTGAAGATGAAAAAAAATCTTCCATTAGACCGTTATGGTCGAGCAGTGATTGCAAACTGGTGCGAACAGTGACAGTTTATATTGGTGAACTTATTCCAACTCTCTGGACTTTTGTATCACGAGCACTTTTAAAAAGCTTGTTCTTTGGTTGTGTCAATCAATGTCTTGTGCTTTTTTAGTGTACTTCAGTTTTTCATGATGTGGTGAAGAAGATTACCTAATCGGACATAACATGACCCATAATGAAATTTTCTACAGCTCTGAAGAAACTGCAGTGTGATTTTACATTGCCCTTACAAAACTCTTACAATGGGAAAGCTTGCCTCAATTAAATTGCCTTTTATGATAGCAATCTTAAAAAGTAGAACTCATTAATTACAAACTAACTATCCAGTTTTGCTTTTTTTTCCGTAAGAAGAATATCTTTTATCCGAAGTTACCAACAAAGCAACTGCTGACCATAAATACATGTGTTAACTGGTTGTATAGCCTTAAAAAAACAATCATATGGGAGAGATGAGGCTATGTGCGCCAGGTGCAAGAATGAGGTGATGCCACTATTCAGACAGCTAGAAGGTTCTTGCAACTAGTAAAAAAGATCAGAGCATAAGAGGTCAAATA